ATTATTTACCAGTAAGCTACTAAGCACTTGGAAGAATAAATATATTTAAATTTTCAATATTTTAGGCACACTTATAAAAAAACATGTAAACTTTGGAGTTTCTTTTCCAACGCCTGCTTTTCTAGTTATTTGTTATCATCTTTCCAAAGTGATATCACTTTGAATTGAGTTCTAAAGGGTCAAGTAAAGTCTGAATGATCTACCTCAAAGCCATTTCCCTTGCTTCCTTCTCACAGTAGATGGACTAACTTCATTATCCACTATTGTGTCAAATAAGTGTTGTTTATTCTGAACATTTCCGCTGCTGTCAACTTAACAGTTAGCGACAGTCTTCTCTGGTTTTTTATGTATTTTTTCCATATTCAATATTTGTGGACTCTGTCTCTTTCTTATTTCACAGAACCCTCGAATCATAAGTAGGGCTTTGGTTACCTCATGACCTACCTGTATCACCATATTAGTCGTTTATTTGATGGAATACAACAGTTAAGGTAAGCAACGGGTGATCATTTGATAAAAGAAAACTGCACTACCACAGTTTCACCGAGAAATCACAGTAGTGGCAAAGAGTGACGGCTTGTTAACGGATGAAAACTTGATGACAGAATTTCTGATTGAACGGTTTGGTTAACTTAGTAGCTTGTTGTACAACTCTAACATTATTTTCTGCTCTTCATTATTTAACCTTTTGTTTATAAGTTATAGTTAAATGGTTTGAATAAATGTTCATCGTTGTTAAGCTTTTATTCTGACAAAGATTTTAGAAATAGCGACAGAAAGGAATATAAAAAAAGAAATTTGGTTGCTATTTGAAGTAAAAAATATGCTCTATAAAATTGGTTGTAAATGTCTGCTTTACGCCAAGCAAAAACTTAAAACAATCTGGTTATGTTATATCTTAAAGCACAGATTTATATTACATTGTGTGGACAGCGTCGGTGAACAGAGAATCTCTTTGTCTTTTTTTTGCTTTAGCTTTTTGCTAAAATAGCTCACAAAATAAAAAAAGAAAATAAAGGACAAACTTTTGCTTTTTTTTTTTTT